CATTCATAGAGAGGTGCAGAAAACCCCGACACTGAGCCCAGCAGGGTGGTCATCAGGCAGGTGTTTGAGAGGCCGGGATTGCACGCACCTTACAGAGGAATCAAGTGCAACAAGCTGGGGTTAGAGGAGGGATGGCATGGGTGGCAGTGGCGCCCTGTTGATGGGTGCAGAGGTGAATTTTTGGGGTTAGAGGAGGGATGGCATGGGTGGCAGTGGCGCCCTGTTGATGGGTGCAGAGGTGAATTTTTGGGGTTAGAGGAGGGATGGCATGGGTGGCAGTGGCGCCTGTTGATGGGTGCAGAGGTGAATTTTTGGGGTTAGAGGAGGGATGGCATGGGTGGCAGTGGCGCCCTGTTGATGGGTGCAGAGGTGAATTTTTGGGGTTAGAGGAGGGATGGCATGGGTGGCAGTGGCGCCCTGTTGATGGGTGCAGAGGTGAATTTTTGGGGTTAGAGGAGGGATGGCATGGGTGGCAGTGGCGCCCTGTTGATGGGTGCAGAGGTGAATTTTTGGGGTTAGAGGAGGGATGGCATGGGTGGCAGTGGCGCCCTGTTGATGGGTGCAGAGGTGAATTCTTGGTGCGCTTCCTGGCCTGCAGCATTAATTTCCTCTGTTGTGTCCGCCTTGGATGTGGAGCAGGTGGCCCTAATGAAATGCCTGAAAGAATAGGGGCAGATAAAGGAGGCTCCTTCTGAAGCCCAGGAGGCTCTCTCATTTTTCCAGTGCAAACTAAGAGATGGAGAGGCACTGCTGATCTCATTTGAGATGAGTAATTTGCCCTAGCTAGTGGGTGATGAAGTTGAAATCTGCACCCCAAAGCTCCTGTTCTATTATACAATGCCTCAGGGACATTTGTCTCCTAACTAAGCTGAGAGCCAAGGAGGGAAACCATTCTCAATAAAGAATGTATTCTGAAATGTGGAGATGCTACAGATCAGACCTATGTTGGCAGGTTTCCTGGAAGACATGGTAAAAGTCAGCTTTGTTTCCTTTAGGTGAATCCCGCGGCCCTCCAAATCATCACATGGGCCCGATGTCAGAGAGGCGGCATGAGCAGAGCGGCGGGCCTGAGCATGGGCCCGAGAGGGGGCCTTTCCGGGGTGGCCAGGACTGCAGGGGTCCCCCTGATAGGCGTGGCCCTCACCCAGACTTCCCCGATGACTTCAGCAGACCAGATGACTTCCACCCTGACAAGCGCTTTGGCCACCGGTTACGTGAATTTGAGGGGCGAGGAGGACCTTTACCGCAAGAAGAGAAGTGGAGGCGAGGGGGCCCTGGGCCTCCGTTTCCCCCTGATCACAGGGAATTCAGCGAGGGGGATGGCCGGGGTGCAGCCCGAGGCCCTCCGGGGGCGTGGGAAGGCCGCAGACCCGGAGACGACCGTTTCCCCCGGGATCCCGAGGACCCACGTTTTCGAGGGCGCAGAGAAGAAAGGTGGGACAGATACTTTGTGGGCCCATTCCATCTTCAGTGGAGCTTTTTACCTGCTCTCTCCACAAAGGTCTCTTTCTTCTTTTTCTTGAGGAAAGAGAATTACATCAATTACTAGCCCTACACTCTCTAGAGTTTGCATTTGGACTTTTTAAAAGTGTGCTTTTTTAACCTTAGTCTTGTTTTAATCTTTGCTGTCTAGAAGTCTTTTTTGTTTTGCTTATTTATTTATTTTTTGGTCCTTTTAAAGAGATAGGAGGATCAGTATACTACAAGACTTGCTGGGATCTGACTTAAAATTTCCAGGTTCTTCTTGATTAGAATGATGAAATATGAGGCAGCTACCTAGATTGGAAATAAAGGGGTTGTGAAATAGATGCAAGTTTTGTGTAATTGCCCAATAATCTTAACAAACTTAAACTGAAAAACAATCTTCCTGTTAAACTTAGATCAGGCTTGAACACTCATCTCAGCCTGCTTGGGGAGTTTAAGGGAACAGAAGAAATGTGGAGAAAGAAACAGGAATTAGCCCAGGACCAGTGTGGCTTATGCCTGTAATCCCAGCACTTTGGGTGGCTGAGGCAGGAAGATCACTTGAGGCCAGGAATTCAAGAACAGCCTGAACAACATAGTGTAACTCCATCTCTACAAAAAAGAATTAAACATTAGCTGGGTGTGGTGGTGCACGCCTGTAGTCCTAGCTACTCAGGAAGCTGAGGTGGGAGGATCAGCTGAGGCCAGGAGGTTACAGTGAGTTACGATTATGCCATTGCACTTCAGCCTGGGCTATAGAGCAAGACCCTGTCTCTTAACAGAAAACAAAACAAAACAAACACCCAGGAAATAGTAAAATCTCAAGTGAGACTCAGAATATTAAAGATGATGATAATTGTTTATTTTGTGTCAGATGATGTTACCTCATTTAATTCAAGGAATTTGTTTTAATTTAGGAAATTAATGACCTCATTTTATTTAAAGAATTTGTGAGATAGGTGCGACTGTCAGCATCTATGCTGATTCAGACAGAGTAAGAGCAGTGTCTTGACTTTCCGAGGTCTGGCAGGTGGTAGATGTCGGAGATGGGCTTCAGGCCCATGCTGTTCAGCACTTCCGCTTTTACTGTAGTCTCTGACTGCTCCTTAGCTATCCATGTCCTTTCATCTCATTTTTTTTTTTTTTTCTTGAGACGGAGTCTTGTTCTGTCACCAGGCTGGAGTACAGTGGCACGATCTCAGCTCACTGCAGCCTCCACCTTTCGGGTTCAAGTGATTCTCCTGCCTCAGCCTCCTGAGGAGCTGGGATACAGGCGCACGCCACCTCGCCTGGCTAATTTTTGTATTTTTAGTAGGATGGGGTTTCACCATGTTGGCCAGGCTGGTCTTGAACTCCTGACCTCAAGTGATCCACGTTCTTCAGCCCCCAGAGTGCTGGGATTACAGGCGTGAGCCACCGTGCCTGGCCCTTTCATTCCATTTCTTACTCTTCTTGTGAATAGGTAGTTAATGCTGGGCACAGTGGCTCACTGTGGAGGCCGGCCGAGGTGGGCGTCGTGAGGTCAGGAGTTTGAGACCAGCTTGGCCAACATGGTGAAACCCTGTCTCTACTAAAGATACAAAAAATTAGCCAGGCATGGTGGTGTGTGCCTGTAAATCCCAGCTACTTGGGAGGCTGAGGCAGGAGAATCACCTGAACCCAAGAGGCAGAGGTAGCAGTGAGCTGAGATTGCACCACTGCACTCTAGCCTGGGTGACAGGGCGAGACATATATATATATAGTGGTTGGTGGTTGAGTTATGGTTGGCCAGCCCACCCTCAGGGGTGGTGAGAAAAGCATGGCTGATGACAGGCCCGGAAGCATGACATAGTGAGGGCTAAGGAAGCAATTGTTTTGGGAAGGGGAGATAGGGAGGTTAAAAATAAAGATGTAAGGGCTCCCAGTGTTTTTAAGACCCTCTCTTAATGATATGCAAGCATTACCTTTGACATGGCTTTTTATGACTACAACAGCTTTACATCTACATAATGTTCACTGGCTTATTGAATCTCTGCATCTTGTGCAAAATGTTACATTTTACCTTGTCTTTTTTTCTTTTTTCTTTTTTTGAGAGGGAGTCTTGCTTTGTCGCTCAGGCTGGAGTGCAGTGGCGTAATCTCTGCTTACTGCAGCCTTCGCCTCCTGGGTTCAAGCGATTCTTGTGCTTCAGTCTCCCGAATAGCTGGGATTACAGGCACACGCTACCATGCCCAGCTGTTTTGTATTTTTAGTAAAGATGGTGTTTAGCCATGTTGGCTAGGCTGGTCTCGAACTCCTGGCCTCAAGTGATCTGCCTGCCTCAGCCTCCCCAAGTGCTGGGATTACAGGCGTGAGCCACCATGCCTGGACACCCTGTCTTGATTTGTACTGTCTTTCATCTGTCCGTGCAGACCCACAGCCTAGGCTGGTGTATAAGAGTGTAAAGGTATTGTGGTTATATAGGAGAAAGTCCTTGTTCTTAGAAGAAACGTACTGAAGCATTTAGGGGTGAAGCTCCTGTTGGCAACTGATTTTCAAATGGTTTAGAAAACATGTTCATGAGTAGCTAGACGGAGAAGATAAAGCACGTGTGGCAAAATATTAAGAAGGGATTGATCTGGGTGGAGGATCTGGGATGTTCATTGTACTGTTCTTTCAGCTTTACTGCAAGTTTGAAAATCTTCCAAGTAGAAGATTAGGGTAAAAGGCAATGGAATGGAAACTAGAGGAAGAGCAGAGGCTCGGCCTGGGAGGAGGCCACGCAGCTCATGCAGAGGGGCCCTGGAGGGCGGTGCCGCTGCCTCTAGTATGCGCTGCCAGAAGGTCACTTTCTCTTCTTTCGCACAGGCCTCCTGGTACCCTGCGTGCCTCAGCCATGCTCCCAGTCAGTGTAGTCTCCTGGCTCCAGAATTCCTGAGAGAAGGGGAAGCTGCTCACTGAGCAGGGCTCCAGGCTGCCAGCTGGCCAGTGGATGGCTGCCTCTAACCAGATGCTGGCCTGTATGCCTGCCAGCTGTGGGCCAGGGCCATGAGTGCAGCTCGTGGCCACAGAGGCCTGCCCCTGGGTGGAGGCTGTGGGCTGGGGCAGATGGCAGAGCCCCTACCCACAAACAGGTCCAGTATGGTTGGCAGACACGATCTGTGCCCCCATTTTTCTGATTATATAAGTCATAAATGTTCATCATACAAATGTAGATGATAATGACAAGTATTTGTGAGGCAGTGATACAGAACCTGGGCCAAGGGTCAAGACTGGCTGAGGTCAGATCACCAGCACTTACTCTATGTCCTTGAATAAATGACATCAGTAATCTGGGCCTCAGTGTTCTCATCAATGGAGCTGCTGCTAATACCAGCTTCATACGGTGGCTGTGAGAATGAAATGAATGAAACAAAGTATACTTGTAAAGGACTTGGCATGGTATAGGCACTTTAAAAATGTTGATGTTGTTATTATTCCTAAAAGCCTAAAAGAAGCTTACAGTAACCCCACCCTCTGGTATGCTTCCTTCTGGTCTGTTTTTGCCTCTGGTAGTATTAATAGGATTATACAATGTGTCCTTTCAAAATACAGTTTTATTTTGTTTTCCTCCCAATCAGCATTATATCATGCTTTCTCATATCACATGCTTTTTTGAAACGTGAACTTAGTGGCAAGGTGTTCCCTGAGATGGACATTCTGCTGTTTTCGCTTTACAGTTTCAGAAGAGGAGCCCCGCCGAGGCATGAGGGCCGTGCTCCCCCGAGAGGAAGGGATGGTTTTCCTGGTCCTGAAGACTTTGGTCCAGAGGAGAATTTTGATGCTTCTGAGGAAGCGGCCCGAGGACGAGATCTCAGAGGTCGAGGTCGGGGTACCCCACGAGGTGAGCGAGTTACTAAGGACACCTGGTCTGGAAGGATAGGGTGCAGAATACAGTGGTTGTGAATATACCGGGAACAGTCTTGAGTGCAGCACTGTTTGCTCTGTTGTGTAGGAGGAAGGAAGGGTTTACTTCCCACTCCTGACGAGTTCCCTCGCTTTGAAGGAGGGCGGAAGCCAGATTCCTGGGATGGAAACAGAGAGCCTGGTAAGGAAAAGAACCGCTTGTTGGGTAACTCTAGATAGCAGTTCACAAAGTGAGTTCTGAGGGCCCTCTCTTGGGTGCACCGGGTCCCCTCTTCCAGCTCATGTCTCCCGGGGGCCTGGGCTGTCTCCTGTCCAGCAGCCACAGATCTTGATCTCAGCAGGTGGAATGAGAGCAGAGGAATCTGCCAGACATTACAGGGATCTATCTGAGTATAAAACAGGACTGCTCTTTCCACTCAATTGTTTTTGGAGAATAAAGTTAAGTAAAATTTTCTCAGTCTCAATTGCTAGTATGTTAAACATTCGTAGTTATAACTCTCATTAACAAATCTCTTAGGAGTCCTCAGTCATCTGAGACTGTAAAGATGTCTTGATACTACACCACGTGAGAACCGGTTCTCTGGATCTTAGTCTAGGTGGCTTACCCCGGGCCTGTGGTGGGCATTCAGCATGAGTGAACGGTGGCTTCTGAGTTGCTCCCTCCTCTCAACAGTGTCATTCCCATCTGCTTTTGGTCGCACTGTGCTTTCCTGTAAGGAGATTTGTTTCTTGTTTCAGGGCCGGGTCATGAACATTTTCGTGATGCTCCCCGACCCGATCATCCCCCTCACGATGGTCATTCCCCAGCCAGCAGAGAACGCTCCTCTTCTCTCCAAGGCATGGACATGGCATCCCTACCTCCCCGAAAGCGCCCCTGGCATGATGGCCCAGGCACTTCTGAGCACAGAGAGATGGAGGCCTCAGGAGGCCCTTCTGAAGACCGAGGAGGCAAAGGTAAGAGCAGGCCAGTGGTTATGGTTCCAGGAGCTGCAGGGGCTGGTGGAGGCCTTGCCTGCATCTGCTGCACATGCCCTTGCAGCCTGGGCTGTGCAGAGGCACATGCTTCTAAACGTGGTGCCAGTGCCACACAAGCTGTCCTCTGGTGGACTGCAACTTGGCCCCACACAGGACTCCACTCGCCTCCAGGAATCCCCGTTCGCTTGAGGTTTTCACTTCAGCCCTCTGCCAGGATGCCCCAGTCGTCTCTGCTGGGCTTGCTGTCTGGGAGCCCTGCTCTCACTGGCAGTCTGCCCGCCACGACGGCTGCTCGGAACCCGCAGGGGCTCTCAGTGGGAGGGAACAGTTGTCCTCTCCTGGGTGCTCTGTTGGTTTTTTAGCCTGGATCTAGAGGAACACTGCTTGTGCTCAAAGTCACAAAGACTTTGGAAAACATGGTCTATGGGCAGTGTTTCCGGGGGCACAGGAGATTCTCTCCTCAACTGGAAACTCTGGAGCTTTATTTTATAGGCACCACTAACTTGAGCCAGGAGTATTCGCCTCCGAAGGCTGACTACAACTCTGGTTGCAAGGCAGCGGGGGAGGTGCACAGGTGCTGTGGCTCGGAGGCTCCCGGGAAGGCTGCTCCCCACGTGCCCCAGCTTGTGCTGTGCTCCCGAAGTTGGCCTGTCTGTGTGGACAGTCCTTCCAGTACAGAGTTCTGCCATTTGGTCTTTTTGGGTTTTTTTCTGTCGCCCAGGCTGGAGTGCAGTGGTGTGATCTTGGCTCACTACAAGCAACCCCTGCCTTCTGGGTTCAAGCGATTTTTGTGCCTCAATCTCCCCAGTAGCTGGGACCACAGGTGTGCACCACCACGCCCAGCTAATTTTCGTGTTTTTAGAGAGATGGGCTTTTGCCACGTTGGCTAGGCTGGTCTCGAACCCCTGGCCTCAAGTGATCCACCTGCCTTGGCCTCTCAAAGTGCTGGCATTGCAGGCGTGAACCACCATGCCCGGCCTGCCATTTGGTCTTGATAGTTGTTTGTCTCAACAAAACCCTCAGAAATTACCTTATGTATCATCAATAGATCTCCCTGCATAAACACACTGTACTACTAGCCAGCGTGCTGTGACCTCGGCTGACTGTCTTGGGTCCTTGGCGTGCCATTATTAGGTCCCTCTGGTCAAGGACGTGCAATTAGCATGGGAATGACGTAGGAGCTGACACGCTGCCCAGGTGCCCTCAGGTGGGTTGAAGCTGCTCTTTGTAAGAAAAGAAGGCAAGATTGTTCCTTTGGCTGGTTCTCCTAACCTCATCTCAGCTAGATTCATATTCTATTACAAAATATAAGACCGTGGATAGTTTGCAGTAGTCTTCTGAAAGGGCATTATGGGAGATGTGACCAAATCCTAAGGAAAAAATTCTTACAAGGTAGATTTTTTTCCCTTTTTCTTTTTTTTTTTTTAAATATATTCTCAAGCTCCAGCAGAATGAAAGAATTTTAATAGTACCTAAACATTTGTGTGTTCAAGTCTGAAGCAAGTTAAGCTGTGCCTAGGTGATAACCTGAAAGCCAGTGTTTGTGGGGTTTTTGTGCTTTTCTTTTGTTTTTTCAAGAAATATTTTACTAATTATGAAAAGGAAGCCAAAAGTGCCACATGTCACAGGACAGTTCCAGTGAACACTCATCCTAGTTGGAGCACTTTTTATTAACATTAGCAGCGTGTACTTCCAAAGTCAAGTCAGTGTATTCCAAAACTTCCCTCAACATACCCTGGTGGCTGGGACAGGTAGTACACTTCCCATGGCCTGGGAGTGGCTCCAGTGTGGCCGAGATCTCCTGAACGGTGCTCTGTGCTCATCCTTGGCTTCCCATCGTCTGTCACAGCCCTGGGACACGGATCTGGCTGATGCTGAGGCCATGGCAATAAGCCAGGAAGGGGGAGGCAGGGTCCAGGAAAGGGTAGAGGCACACCTCTCAGTACCTGAATACCCACTGCCAGTCTCCCTGGCACCCACCAGAACTGCGTCCACTTGTCATCGAGAGTAAAGTTCTGTACCTGGTAGTTACTGAACAACAGAGTTGCTAATACAGAAAGTCCTATGTTGAACATTTTCTTTGTTTCAGGCCGCGGGGCCAGGACCTGCCCAGAGAGTGCCCAAATCTGGGCGTTCCAGCTCTTTGACGGAGAACACCACGAGGGTACCACAGAGATGAACCTTTTGGGGGCCCTCCAGGCAGTGGCACCCCTTCTCGGGGGGCCGGAGTGGCAGTAACTGGGGTAGAGGGAGTACATGAACTCTGGGTCCCGCGGAGGCGAGGAGCTTCACGGGTTGGTGGAAGGGGTCGGTAGAAGTTTGGAACTGAAGTACCCTGAGGCCCTCTCTGGACGTAGTATTTAAGAACTTCTCTGTGCGACTTACCAAGAGAAACCAAAAGGAAGCCTGCACCATTGTAGCCCTGAACTCTTCTGGGCACCTGATCCCAGGAACCCTCAATGAGGTCTTCAGATGAAGAGACTGCTGCCAGCTACCAGCCCAGCTGGGCCCTTTCCTGTCCTGTCCACCCCTCATTGCCCCAACCCCATGTTGTTTTGTGAAGATAAAAGCTGGGATCTTTTTTTTTTTTTTAAGTCTCACAAGACCATGGGGCATCTCCACAAATTTAAGTTCCTGTCCACTTTGGAAATTTGTTTCTATGTGTACAGTTGTCAGAGAAAAACTAAAAGTTTTTGTATGAATACAGAATGTATTTACGCAAGAATTAACAGAAAAACTAGTTTGTGGAGTGCTTGCCTTAAGGAAACCTTGGTTTCCATCGCATCCCATCTGCCGAGGAGTGCACGGTTATCGCTGATGTTCATGAGCATAGTAACCACTAAGTCCATCTAAATTAATCTCAGCTGTGAACTTTGTGTTTCTCCAACAAATTCTGTCACACCATTTTTGTGATAGAGAAATACTTGAAGATTAATGTAGTTTGTAGTAGGTTCAAAGTTATACTCAGACATGCTCTGACAGATGGAAAACTGAACTCTGAAGAGAAAATGCAGTCTTCTGGCTGTCCAGCGAGGGAGCTCCCCTTGGAAGCATCTCCTAGGAATCACAGTGTAGATTTGAATCGCCTTGTCAGGATGAGGAGAGCAACTTGATGTTAGTCAAAATAACGTCACATTGCCCTTTAGATAACTTGAAATCACACATGGAGTTGATAAGGAATGGACCAAAATAGCTCCTAAAACCATTTTGGAACACTAATTAATTAATCTCTTCTCTTCCATACTAGCTATGTGGAAATACCAGTGTTATGCAGGGTGTACTTCTAATTCATAAGCCAGACAGATCTTGTCCATGGCAAATTCCTTGTTTGAAATAAACATACCATTTAGCCCAGTTTGGATTGGAAGCCAAAAATTCAGTTTTTATACCCCATGATACTTTCTATACTGACCTTTATTTTGGTTTTACATGGAAGCTTTTATTAAAAGGACTGTCCTATGGCCACCTTAACATTTCATTACATTGGCAGCTTCAGTTTGGCGTCAAGTCAATTTATTTGGCACATTAGTGGTGCTGGAGTTTCATTTTTTCTTCTTTTTTTTGAGACAGGAGTCTCGCTGTCACCCAGCCGGGAGTGCAGTGAGCAATCACGGCTCACTTCAGCTTCGACTCTGCTCAGCGTCCCTAGTAGCCGGGACTACAGGCACACGCCACCATGCCCAGCTCATTTTTTTTTGTATTTTTTGTAGAGATGGAGTTTCACCACGTCGCTATGCTGCTCTCAAACTCCCGGGCTCAAGCGGTCCACCTCCTGTGGCCTCCCAAAGTGCTGGGATTGCAGATGTGAGCCACAGGACCTGGCTGCTGCTGCTGGAAGTTTCAGTGGTTGCTTAGAAAAGGCATACTGACATAGTTTAACAGTATATGAAACTCTAGTGGTTCTCCATGAATGTAAAAACTAGCAAAGCTAACTGATTTATGTGGAGAAAATGTCAGCCATTACACTGCTTTTCAGTTTAGAATCCAGAGACTTTTTTTTTAACTTTGAAATTACAGCTTAATCAGCACCCCACCATAAACATGCTATTATAAGGCTCAGATTGCTTTAGGTTATGGATATTTCTTCACTCTCCCCCAACTGGTATAGCTTAAAGACAGAGAAACTGTAAATCAAATTTCATGAAGCTAAAACCGGATCCAGAGACCAAACTCATATCAAGATTAGCCTTTTTTTCCTGAGATTCCAGTGGAAAAAAATTTCATTATTTTGGGCTGTAACTTTAAAAACATAGTATTCCAAGCAGATAACCAGATCACATTTTAAACATTTTCATTTTACCTTTAAGCTCTACTGGACTTGACAGATCACATTTGAGAGTGATTTCATTTAGAGAAAACAAGAAGCCTACATTATATCTATTAAATACATAATGGCATTTAAAACATCACTGTCAGAATACATACTAGATGTTGTGATTTGAAGCTATAAAAACTAGATTTTCAATGTTTGAACTGAGAGAAAATGTTTGAGACAGGGGTCTCGCTGTGGGCCCCAGGCTTGGGTGCAGTGGTGCGATCACAGCTCACTGCAGCCTCGACCTCCTGGCTCAAGTGATCTTCCCACTTCAGCCCCACCCCGAGTAGCTGGGATCACAGTTTTGTGCCACCACATCTGGCGAATTTTTAAAAATTTTTTGTGGAGATGGGGTTTAACTATGTTGCCCAGGCTGGTCTGAACTCCTGGCCTCAAGCGATCCTCCCGCCATGGCTCCCAAAATGCTGGAGATTACAGGTGTGAGCCACCAGCTGAGAAATGTTGAATTTTAAAGTTTTTATTTAAGAAATAAACATTGTAAAACATTATAAACCCCCAACTATTGCAAGTTCTAGAGAAATTGAGAACAGAAATTTAGGTGACTAGAAAGAACAGCCAATGGCAACAAGTCTTTACATTAAAAAAATAAATCATTCTGAAAATACTGCATTTGCTCCCTCACTAGCAGCCGCCTGAGGTAGGTAACCTTGTTTACTGACGGGGAACAAGGCAGTATTCTTCACCAAATCTCAGGGCGGGTAGCCTGCAATCCTACAGCGTGGGATGTTGGCCACTTGCGTCACTTGCTGGGACAGTGTTAGGGGACCTAACTTAGGAACATACATTTGGGGCTGGAGGAAGCAGCAGTGCTCTACCGCGGCCCGGCAGACACCCTGTTAGGCAACACTGGGATCCAGTCAGGAAAGATTATTTTCAAATTGTGCAAGCCAAGGCACAAAGTGGTCTTCAACCTTGGGGAACGTAGAATCACCTGGGAGCTTTAAAAAGGTCCTGATGTCTAGGAACCTACTTCCCTGGTTCAGATGCGCTTGATCAGAGGTGTGGCTCTTCAAGTAACTGACATGCAGTCAAGCGCGAGAACCACTGGCACACAATGTTTAAATTCTAAATATATTTTACTTCCAGTGTGTTGCTTACTGACAAAACGTAGTCTTCTGGACTCATCAGAATGTTAGGCTCATACTTTTCTGGCAATAAATTACGGTAGGTAAAAGTAACCGCTGAACCTAAAATGAAGGAAGCAGAATTAGATTAAAAAGCATCTTAAGATCAGCCTGCAAATTGTAAATAGTTTACAAAGCAGACCATACAATGAGAATAATTCGAGCTTGTAGAAATCCATGGTCTCCATCAGATACAGGTGTTCCGGATCTGAATTATCTTCCTATTTGCAGGATTTCCGCAGAGCCCGCTAAGCTTGTACGCGCCCCTTCCTGGATCCCATGCTGCTTGGGGCAGGAAATTTCTTTTGGTCCATCGCTTTCGTCGTGAAAACAGAACTAATTTTCTTTCATGTTATAAGGACCATATGTATGATTTTGTTAACTGAAGAAAAAACCCGAGATTAACTCTTAAATAAGTACTTTTAAAAGTACTTACTCGTGGCTGAATTCGTGGTTTAATAATCTGATACCCTTCTGGATTCGCCGGCACCGAAGAGAATAATTTCCAAGTTTTAACACAGCCAAAACAAAAATTACCGTCGCTAAGCTACATCTAGCGCTGGATTTTAAAATGACAAAACAGCCTGAGAAAAATCACGAAGGAGCTAATTTCGAAGAAAAGTCCTTTTTCTTTACTCAGCGGAACCTAAGATCACAGTTACTTCACAGCAACTTATAACCCGTCTCACATCCTGTCACCAGTTCAATGACAAATCTGTTTTCAGAGGCATGTGCCAAGTCCAGCACAAAACGCTGACATCGGACGACCTCCCAACGGCTGCGTCCCTCCCTGGCAGCAGCCGCTCCCGGCTTAGACTCACAGGCGGTCACGGCAGGGTCTTCGCCGCGGGCGTCCCGGCACCGGCGTGCAGTCCTCGGCTCGGCAGGGGCAGTCTTCGACGGCGCTGGCTACGCGTCCTTCCCCAGTGGCGCGGGGTCGAGGTTCCTCACACGGGCAGCACCTTGGTGAGGCCGGCGCCGCGGCCCAGGGCGACCCAGCCGAGGCGCAGCGCGGTGCGCCGCCCCAGGGCAGCAGCCCGACCAGCGCGGCCAGCAGCGCGGCTACCTGCGCGCCCGCGCCCAGCACCGTGAGCAGCGTGCTGCGCAGGCCCAGCGCGGCGAACAGCGTGGCGCCCAGCGCTGCCGTGTGTAGAGCAGCGCGGGCCGGGACGGCGCTTCTTCGCAGCGCAGCAGCCGCCCGCACGCCGCGCCGCCCCGCAGCAGCGCGCCTCCCGCCAGCGCCAGCGCCGAGCCCAGCGACCAGAGCAGCGCGAACTTGCGCGCGCGCAGCAGCAGCACCGGCGCGTAGAGCGCGGCCAGGCCGAAACAGAGTGCCGCCAGCAGCAGGCACCCGCCGCCCGCCGCCAGCCGCTGCCCGCGCGTCACGCTGGGCAGGCACGCCGGGCCGCAGCCACCCCGACTCCCCAGGGCTCCGCGCCCAGGTCCAGGGTAGGCCCGCGCGGCCCAGCCACGCCCCCGCCGGCCCGTCCCCGGGCTCCTCCGCCTTCCCCGCGCGAGCAGCGGCTCCGCGGCCGCCGGGCCGCCCCCTTTCCCCTGCGCCAGGTACTCCTGCAACTGGCGGTGGAGGTCCGCCATCTTGGACAAGGTGGCGGCAGGAGGGAAAAACACCGTTCACATCCGGCCCTCCCCGGCCGCGGGCGAAGCGGCTCGGCCTTCGGGCCGCAATTGGTCGGCCGCGGCGAAAGGGGCAGGGCCTGGGCGCTCGCGGAAGTGCCGAGGTGCCTCTTCCGCGGACTTTTGTGGTGTCCTCAAGTACCGCGGGCGTAGGTGCAGTTTGTCCGCCTGCAGTCGCCCTCCAGCGCCTGACCCTCTTCCTTGTTCTGAGTACGCGCCCTTACGGCCTGGCTAAGTCCTGCCAGCATTAATAGTTGGAAGGCAAGGTGGCGGGTTCTAAAGGGGCACAAGAGGGACCCTTTTGCTGATAGAAATGTCCCTGTGGCCTCACTGTCTGCGTCTACCGTGGCGGTGATATTGTGCTAGTTTTGCAACATGGAGGAATGGGTAAAGGTACACGGGATCTGTTTCTTACAACTGAACACAAACTTAACAGTGATCTCAACATAAAAATTTGATTTTTAAAAAAGTTGAGATCTGTGTGACTCAGGTGGTTTTTGTTTGGGGGGAAAGTTGGCGTCCTGATTGGTTACGTCACTTGTAGTAATAGTGACCATCCTAATCACTTACCATGGGGTTGATAAAGGAAGGGTTGACACCCAGTAGCTCCACCTGCTTCTCTATTCTGTTCTCAGTTTCAGCCACAGGCCTGGCAACATGCTTGAGTCCTTCGCGCCCCTTGTCAAGACTCGGTGCTGCTGTCCTGTGTGTTTGGTGTCACTCTCGTGCTCGGGACACCGCCAGCCCAGGGTCCTGACTCATCGTCAGATCACTCTGACAAGCTAACCATCCTGATTTATTCCGAGGCCGCACCCACGTGCCCTGCTCTTTCTCAGAGCTTCCTAGAGGATGTCTGCCTGTGGTTCTTTCACAGGTCAGATTCCTCCAGATTCTTCCAGCTGCCTCCACAGCTCCCTCACCACCTTGGCTTCCCCTGGGTGGCCCTGCGTCCTTTGTCCTCTGCCCTAGTGGATGTAAAGTTAATGGCTTCCTGCTGTTTGACTTCTCAGCCTTTCCATCCCTGTGTGACTAATCTCCCCCACTAAGTTCCTTTTAATGCTTTCTGTTTTCTTGGTTGGATCCTGACAGATGTAATTCTTTTTCAAATACATTCTGATTTGTTATCTCACTTGATAATAATAGTGACCATCCTGATCACTTAGCATGGCTAAACCATTAGGATGGCTAGGATCGAAACAAAAAACAAAAACAAAACAACACACCAGAAAGTTACAAGTCTGTCAAGGATGTGGAGAAACTACAAGCCTTGTGCACTGTTGGTGGGAATGTAAGATGCTCAGCTGCGTGGAAAACAGTATGGAAGTTCCTAGAAAAATATATATATAAATAAATAAGTATATATATATGTATATATGTACACACACGACTAGACAAAACTTACATATTTGAATACATATATGTGTGTGTGTGTACATAATTACAGTCTGATCCAGCAATTCCACTCTGGATATATACCCAAAGAATTGAAAGCAAGGTCTCAGAGATTTGTATAACTTCTCATAGCAGAACTATTCATGTTAGTCAAGAGATGGAAGCAACCGAAGTGTCCACCAGCAGATAAATAAATAAATGTGAGATATGCATACAGTGGACTGTTACGCAGCCTTGAAAAGGAAGGAGATTCTGACGCATGCTACCACATGGATGAACCTTGAGGACATTATGCTGATGAAATAAGCCAGTCACAAAAAAGGACCAATACTGCAATGGTTCCACTTCTGTGAGGTACTTAGAGTATTCAAATACGCAGAGCTAGAAAGTGGACTGGGGACGTTAATGCCCATCAGTGATGTTACCTAATCATTTATGCAGCTACCATATAGAAAAGGCAGGACTGTGCTGCCCATTTTTATAGGTGAGGGAAGCTGAGAATACCAAGAAGTTAAGTAACCTACCCAAGGTCACCTACAAAACTGACAGTAGGGTAGTGTTAGGTTGTGATTTCTGGTTTCTAACCTTGTGGGCTTCCCGTTGCAGGAAGAGGCTTTTGCTGGGGGTCTTCTGTGTGAGCCCTGGATGGGTTTTCTGCTGTGGTTTGGCTGCAGGGAGGGAAGGTCATTAACAAACCCACCTTCCTCCAGCACTGCAGCAAAACTCATCCTAACAACCATCTCTTGCTTCCCTGTCTCCCTTGAAGCCCTTCTACCAGGCCTTCAGTCCACCGCCCAGCAAAATCGTTCATCACAAAATCGCCAGACGCTGTTGGCTAGTGCAGTGAATTTCAGCCTTCAGCCCCAGGATGACACTGTGGGCTCCTCTCTTGGCTGTTCCTCCTCCTGAGCCCTCAGCGTTGCTGCTCCTGGGGGATCTCCTCTTTTCTCTCTTGGCACCCTCTGGCCCAGCCCGTGTTGTTAAAACCCTCTGGGTACAGATCCTCCCCACTTCTCCACCAGGCATCTGATAGACACCCTGGAGGTCGTGTGCAGAACCAGACACTTCACTCCTGACTTCCCCTCCTCATCCCCCAAACCTGTAGCTACCCCCTCCTCCGCACCTCAATAATCGCACGCCATCAGCAAGTCCCGCCACTCTACCTTGGAACAGATCCAGTACCAGCCCATTCTCCCCTCCACCACTAACCCCACATCTGGGCGCCTGCCTGCACCCCACCACAGTGTCCCTGTTTTGGTCCATGCTTCTTCACGGTTCACACATCGGCCTGAGGGACCTTTGTCCATTGAGTCAGATGATGTCACTCCCCATTGCTCACCTCACACGAAGCGACTTCCTCACCTCCCCCACGTTGCCCTGTGGGATGGCCCGGGACCTGTCTGCCTCCACTCCCCTGCTTTCTCCTGCCTCCATCCTGTTCTACATCGGGTGGTCTTTGGGTGTTTCTGGATCTGTCAAACATGTTCCCCTAAAGCATTCCTCCCACCCCAAATATCTTCACAGCGCCCTCCCCTCATTTCTTCAGGTCTCTACTTCAATGTCACTTTCAGAATGTCCTTCCCTGACCTCCCGGAAGCATGCGCCTCACCCTCCACCTTTTCACTCACAAGCATAACGACGGTGGCACACTCATTTCCTGGTGGTTTAAGAACAGGCAAATGCTTTCCAAGTCTCCCTCCTCCCCCATCCTTCATTTTGAGCCTGTCCTTCCTTCTGGGCTCCATTCACAGTGAACGTTGATGTGGATGGAGATGCAAAGGAGCCAGACTCACACAAATGCAGCAGGGCCCCGAAGAATTTTTTTTTTCTTGTTCTGAAACCCCATTCTGTGTTCCTCTTTGTGGTGCTGGATGGCCTTGTCCCCGCGGGGGAAGCCTGGCTTTTCGGAGCTTTAGATTTCACCGCGTCAGCACCAGGCAGGGCCTGGCCTCAGCTCTTGCAGCCACCGCATCTGCAAATCCCGGGCAGGGGCTCCTCGGATGCCCGCGTCCTCCTCCCACTATTGTCGGACTTTTGCATAAGTCAGGCAGGTCCCAGCTCCCACCTTCCCCAGGGGAAGGGGCCAGAGCCAGCCTTTTCTGCTGCCAAGTCTTTCACCTCGACCTAAGGAAGCAGTACCCTTCGCACCAAATCTTCTCCCGCCTGCAGTAAACTGTTATTTCTCCAGAGCCCAGCAAGTGTTATCCATGCTGCTTTTAAGGGCTTTCCAGAGTGGCGTCTCCCTCCCTTCCCTGTCTGCCATGGCCCTCTCTGTTCAGCTGGGTTTACTTGTACCCTGCCGGGCCTCAACCTGAACTACGTTCTCCTTTCTTCAGTGTGCTGGGTCAGCCAGCGCCAACCACCCACTTGTTTTTGAGACAGGATCTTGCTCTGTCGCCCAGGCTGGAATGCAATGGTGTGATCTTGGCTCAGTGCAACCTCTGCCTCCCAGGTTCAAGCGATTCTCCCACCTCAGCCTCCAGAGTAGCTGGCACTACAGGCGCATGCCACCATTATTTGTGAAGACGGGGTTTCCACAGGTGGCCCAGGTGGTCTCGAACTTCAGAGCTCAAGTGATCCGCCCACCTCAGCCTCCCAAAGTGCTAGGATATTACAGGCATGAGCCACGGCACCAGGTCTACCAGTGCCCCTTTTCAAAACTGCTATCTAGTCCTGTCCTCTTTACCTAATATTCTTCAGTGGCTCCTTATCTCCTACAGATTAAATTCTAATTCCCCGCCTGCCACCCAGCCTTCTAGGCCCTGCCTTAGGCCCCTATGGCTCTCCCCGATGCTCTGTGGGGTCCCTCTGGACCTAGCAGTTTGGAGACTCCCTTCTTCTGTGGCTTTGCTGAGCCTGGGCTCTCTGCTGGGTGGACCCCTGTCTACTGCTCCTTCCTCTCCCTCTCCCAAGCATCCCTTCCTCCGGGTCACTCCTCAGGGCCCACACAGCCCTGTCACTGACTGGTGACATCGCCAATGCCTTGAGGAGTTTTGTTATCAAGCAAATGGGCTCACGCTTAATGCACAGTGAAGCCAGTAACACTGGCAGCAGCTTTTGAGAAAGAAAGGCTTTATTGCAAAACTGACCAGCAAGAAGGCAGGAGTGGGGCTCAAATCTGTCTCCCCAGTTTGAGGTCTGGGGCAAGCTTTAAGGGACCAGAGGGCAAGGGAAATGATTTAGCAGTGTTGGCTTGGCAGGGTCTGATTGTGGGGCTTCAAATTTAACCATTATGGAAAGGATTGTCAAGGCAGATTTGAGCCCCAGTCTCCCAGGCCAACGGATCCCTGCTTCTGAAAGATTTCCATGTTCAGGTTCCAGTCCTGTCCTGGTCGTCTTGGTTCTGAGGGGAGGAGTCATTGGTTCTGGGTATTGTTAGAGGTCAAAGCTTGTTCCATTGTGCATGCCTGGGCTCCATGCCTTGCAGTTTTGGCTCTGTTGTACCTACAAAGCAAGGTGACATTCTGTCATCACAAGGTAGGCCCAGTATGGGCGGGTCTCACAGTTATAGTTTCTTCTTTCATTTACTAATTTTTAAAAGAATACCTAACTCTTGCGTGTGATGGTCTTCTCAAGTCTCATTTCTTTGTGTCCTGCTTCCCAGCCCCTGTCACTGTCTTCATTGCCTTGGCTTTTCTGGGTGACCTCGAGTTGGGTGGCTCAGGCTTTGTGACAAGTATTGGCTCACCAGGCTGATTCATCTTGGCTCAGTCCCTGTCTGGGTGGTCGCCTGGCCATGGTGATCTTCCTCAGGCACAGTGCCAAAGCACTTGCCATAAAATGATGCCTCCCGCCCCGCCCCACTGGGGCAGCAGAGCCTCTCCGTGACCACTGGCGCCTAGAGCTTCTGCACCGAGGAGGTGCTCCTGCCAAGGCATGGTGACCAGCAGCCACATGTAGCGTCTGCACCTGCGGGGCAGCTGAGGAACTGAATTTTAAATTTGAATTAACCGTAGCCGGGCGTGGTGGCTCACGCCTGTAATCCCAGCACTTTAGGAGGCTGAGGCGGGCGGATCACGAGGTCAGGAGATGGAGACTATCCTGGCTAACACGGTGAAACCCCGTCTCTACTGAAAATACAAAAAAAATTAGCCGGGCGCGGTGGCGGGCGCCTGTAGTCCCAGCTACTGGGGAGGCTGAGGCAGGAGAATCGCTTGAACCCTGGAGGCGGAGCTTGCAGTGAGCCGAGATCGCGCCACCACACTCCAGCTTGGGCGACAAAGCGAGACTGTCTCAAAAAAAAAAAAAAAAAAATTGAATTAACTTTAGTTAATTCATTATTTATATTGAATTATATTGAAAACATCATAATATAGCCACATTATTATACATAACATACATCATATAGTATTTGTATATATTTATCATAGCCACATGTGGCTGCTGTGTTCCCTCTGCCCCTCGGGAGCGCGTTGGAGACAGGGGGCGCAGTTGGCCTTGTCACCACGCTGCCGGCCCTGAGTGCTGGAGTGCGCGTCGGTGCCGCGGGAGCGCTGGCGGCGCGCGCGTGCGGCTGGGGATGGGCAGCGAGGGGTGCGGGCGAACGGTGGGGCTCCCGGACACGGTGGGCAGCGGCGTGCCGGCCCTCCCCGGGTTGTCTCCTTACGCGTCCTGGGGAAACTGAGGACTCAGACGCCCTCCCACAGAAGCGTCTGAGCCAGGGCGCCTCCCAGGATGCCTCGCTGTCCCTCCAGCCTTCGTAGCGGCGGCACCGCCCGTCCTGCCTCCGGGGGCCCTGGCATCTCGGCCCCGCGCGGGCCTGTCCCGGGACCCCACGGCCGCGGGCCGCTCGCAGGCGCTTTTGGCTGCAGCCCTCCCGGCCATATTAGATTTAAAATCGCCAAAAGGGCCCCGTTCTGATAGCTTTAGAGATAAGTAATCACCTTTATATAAATGGAATAGTCCCGATTTTTCAGAAGTTGGGGAAATGTAACTTCTAATACTGTTAATGGTCAAAAAGGAAAAGAAAATTATTTCATAAAAGCTAACTCAGAAATGTTTTCAGAATTCAAAATCTTTTTATTTAGACAAATGTGACTGGGTTAATATTTGTGGTTTAATGAAAACAGCTATGGGCCGGGCGCAGTGACTCACGCCTGTCATCCCAGCACTTTGGGAGGCTGAAGCCAGCGGATCATGAGCCCAAGAGTTCGAGACCATCCTGGCCAACATGATGAAACCTGTCTCTACAAAAATACAAGAAATTAGGTGGGCACGGTGGCGCCAGCCTGTGGTCCCACCTTCCGCAGAGGCTGAGGCGGGAAGGTTTCTGGAGCTGGGGAGGTCAAGCCTGCAGTGAGCCTAGATCTTACCACTGCACTCCAGCCTGCGTGACAGTGAGACCCTAACCAAAAAAAAAAAAAAGGAAAGAAAAGAAAACTCATTTAGGAAGGGCTAATTTCTTTACAATTATTTTCCTTCTCTGTTGAGTTTAAACAAATATTTAAATACTTTATTGTCATGGCCAGGTACAGTGGCTCACGCCTGTAATCCCAGCACTTTGGGAGGGCCAGGCGGGCGGATGACAAGGTCAAGAGATCAAGACCATCCTGGCCAACATGGGGGAACCCTGTCTCTACCAAAAATACAAAAATTAGCTGGGTGTGGTGGTGTGCACCTGTAGTCCCTGCTACTCAGGAGGCTGAGGCAGGAGAATCCTTTGAACCAAAGAGATGGAGGTTGCAGTGAGCTGAGATCATGCCACTGCACTCCAGCCTGGCGACAGAGTGAGATTCGGTCTAAAAAAAAAAAAAAAATTATTTCAGTTTGAAATGAATAGCCAAATAGTTTCTCATGACTTGACTTCATTCTTAAGTGGTTAATCTCTTGATAACTTTGCTTTCTCCCTTCCCTATATTGAGTCCTAATGTAAAATAAAATAAGATAAATTCCCCAGGTTTGCCTGGAATGTCATTTTTGAGAATGGCATTCATTTGGGATAGCTTTGATGTCTAAACTGTCTGAATTTCCCAGAGAGTCCTTGAAAGCACATGTTGTCTTGTCTACTCTTTGAAAACGAGGTTAATAAGGGCCGGGCACAGTGACTCCCGCCTGTAATCCCAGCACTTTGGGAGGCTGAGGTGGGTGGATCACAAGGTCAGGAGTTCGAGACCATCCTGGCAAATATGGTGAAATCCCATCTCTACTAAAAATACCAAAAAAATTAGCTGGGCGCGGTGGCACATGCCTGTAATCCCAGTTACTCGGGAGGCTGAGGCAGGAGAATTGTTTGAACCCAGGAGGCAGAGGCTGCAGTGAGCTGAGATCACACCATTGCACTCCAGCCTGGGCAACAGAGCGAGATTCTATCTCAAAAATAATAATAATAAAAAATAAAAATGGGGTTAATCATGTTTACAATTATTTTGTCAAAAATTTTTGACTTTATTATCTCATTTTGCAGGATGCAGAAACAACCATATTTCCTTGTCAGATGCACTATTGTTGTAAGGAACTGTCATCTAGTCTTTTGTATTTGAAAATTATCTGGCTAGATAAGGAATTCCCCCTTTCTATTTTTCTCATAAGTTATCTATAATTCATAACAATTTAGTCGAGTATACTTTTGTAAACAGAAATGAACTGTTTGTAAAATGATTTCTTCTTGCCTGACCCCTCTAGAATTCAAAATGCTTACTGAGTATTCTTATTTTCACGGAAATGTGAGTTATTGTCATAAATGCAGTAAGAATATGTCCTTCTTGTTAATGGGAAACAGTTGGAAACATTGGTGATACAACCAAGGCCTTGTCTGGAATATCATATTTGAGGATGACGCTCATTTAATCAGATATGACCAGACACTTCTAGGGAGCTAAGGTTGACTTTATGGAGCCAACACGTACAAAGCCATCTTGAAAAAACCAGCCTGGTATCTGGCTTACAGTGTTCCCAGAATTATAAGTGAGGAAGGAAGGTTGACCTTCCTTACTTTCCTTTCCTGGCCGACCCAGGAAACTTAGGATATTTTGGGGACTTAGAGAAGAGAGGAATGTGCCCAAATCCACAGGTACTGCCAGGGAGATCTGGTGGTAAGTTCTTAGGTTGGCTTCTTGGCCTCAGTGGTTTTTAAAAGTTCACTCCTTATGCAAAATTCTGGTAAACCAAACTCAGAAGGCCTATGGTAATTGAGCATTCTTGCTGTACCTATAAAAATAACCAGGCCAAATCTAATCAGACCAACTTTGTCTGATGTGGTGTGTGTATGGTGGCAGAGGACCGGGGATGGGGGGTCGATAATAAGCTTTCTTTGAGGTTATTCTTATCAAAATGAGAGAGATTGAAGAAAAATACTTGTGTTTCAATGGAAAGCTATGCACACTTCATAGCACATTTTTCTAGGTTACAGGTTCTAGCCTTGTTCATAGTATTTAATCTACTTTACCTCTTTGTAAATCGCAAGTAACTGATGGATATGTAAACGCTCTCTTGCCTGGTAGAGATTCTTCCTCAATGTAGCAGAATAGATTTTGACACCTACCTGCTAATTGGACTGGATCCTGCTACTTTGCCCATACTGTCAATCATTACCAAATTTTAAATTCTTCCTGTTTCCATTAATATCTGGTTATGGCTGAGTGTGGTGGCTCATGCCTGTAATCCCAGCACTTCAGGAGGCAGAGGTGAGAGGATTGCCTGAGGCCTGTAGTTTGGGAACAGACTGGGAGACACAGTGAGACTTTGTCTTTACAAAAAAATAGAATTAGCCAGGTGTGGTGGTACACACCTGTAGCCCTAGCTACTTGGTAGGCTAAGGTGGAAGGATTGCTTGAGTCCAGGAACTCAAGACTTCAGTGAGCTATGATTGCACCACTGCACTCTAACCTGAGCAATAGAATGAAACCATGTCTCTTAAAAAACAAACAAACAAACAAAAAACAAAACAAAAAAAAACTAAATGAAAGTGAAATGACAATGTCTCATTGGAGAGAATCAATAAAGGAGTAGAAATTATAAAAATGAACCAAATAAAAAATGTTGGAGATGAAAAGTACAATAAACAAAATGAAAAGGCCAGAAGTGGTGGCTCACATCTGTAATCCTGGCAGTCTGGGAGGCCAGGCAAGAGGATTGCTTGAGCCCAGAAGTTTGAGACCAACCTGGGCAACACAGTGAGACCTCACCTCTAAAACAAAACAAAACAAAAACAGAATAAAAAATTCACTGGATAGGATAAACAGTCAATTTGAGTTGGCAGAAAAAAGAATCAGTGAACTTGAAGACACATCGGTAGAAATAATGCAATCTGAAAAACAGAGAAAAATATAAAGAAAAATGAGCAGAGCATCAGAGCAATATGGGACACCACTAAGTGCACCAACATATTGATATGGTTTAGCTCTGTGTCCCCACCCAAATCTTATGTCAAATTGTAATCCACAATGTTGGAAGTGGGGCCTGGTGGGAAGTGATTGGATCATGGGGGTGGTTTCCAATGATTTAGC